CATCTTATTTACTAGGCGTTGGTAAGTAGCTCCTGCATTTTTAGCCCGAAGGGCATTACATTGTAACAATATGTTCCATACTTGGTGATAAATGAGGTCCTCTCCTGGTCTTCCGAGTTCAACTGAATTTGATTATACCCGGAATAGGCGTCGAGAAAGGTAAGGATCTCGTGGCCAGCCGTGGCATCGATCATGCGATCGATGTTAAGGAGTGGAAAAGAGTCTTTAGGTCATGCCTTGTTCAAATCCTTGCAATCTACACACATTCTAAGTTTGTTCCCCTTTTTAGGGACTATGACTACATTGGCTAACCATTCGGGGGTATTTTACCTCCCGAATGGACCCTATTTTGAGAAGTTTAGTTACCTTGTCCTTTATGAATTCATGTTTTACCTCGGACCGGGGCCTTCTTTTTTGTTTCACCGGTTTGAACCTGGGGCGTTGTTACCTACGGTGGGATACCTATCATGTCTAAATGGGAACAAGCAAAACAATCCATGTTATCGATAAGAAATTGAATAAGCTTTTTCCTGAGTTTGAGGGTTAACCTCATTCCCAGGTATACCTTTCGCTCGGGCAGGTACTCAATATAACCTGTTCCAGCTCCTCGACCGTTGATTTGGTGGCATCAGATTCCTTGGGTACAATAAAGGTTCGAGGGGTAAGAAAATCCTCTTCATCATCTTCTTCTATCTCCTGCTTTCCCGATTCGATCGAGGCTGGTGGCTATGATTACTATTTGGTTTCTTGTTTACCTTTGATGCTCGACCTTTCCAAGGTTGATAACGTTGATACCGGTATTACCTCATCAATTGAAAACATTTCCTTCGAAACATGCTATTCCCCGTATATTGTTTTCACGCCGTCCGACGTCGGGAATTTCATTATTTGGTGAAGAGTCTAACAAACTGCCCTCATGTTGTGGATCCAAGGCCTCCTGAGAAGGGCATTGTACCTCATGTCGTCCTCGATCACATAGAACTTGGTATCTTGAATGGTTCTGGAAACGTTCACTGGCAGAGCAATCTCGCCTTTAGTTGTTTCACTGGCCATGTTGAATCCATTTAAGACCCAAGTTGCGGGCACAATTTGATCTTGTAAGTCGATTTGCTCCACGACCCTCGATCAGATGATATTAGCCGAACTACCTGGATCCACTAAAACACGCTTAACTTGAACTTTATTTAATAAGATAGAAATTACCAGAGTGTTATTGTGTGGTTGAGAAATGCCTTCTGCTTCTTCATCGTTGAATGATAAGGAGCCCTCGGGCACATGATCTCGGGTCCGCTTTTCCCTAGTGATAGATACCTTTGTGCGTTTGAATACATGCCCTTGTGGAATATCGACCCCGCCGACGATCATATGAATGACATGCTATGGTTCCTCCTGTTCATTTTTCCCGTTGGTGTCTTTGCTTCTGAAATGATTCTTGGTTCGATCGCTAAGGAACTCTCGAAGGTGGCCCTTGTTAAATAGACATGCTATCTCCTCCCTTAATTGCCTGCAATCCTCGATCTTGTGACCATGCGTGCCATGATACTTGCATATCAAATTTGGTCCTCCCGAATGTCGAGACAATGCCTGATGCATCGACGCTAAAGTTATATTCCGATAACCGAGGTGCCTCTATGGGATCAGCGTGCTTATCAAAACCACTTTTGCTCATAAGTCCCCGAGTATTTCGTCCTCGATCGTTTCTTCGATCATTCCGAGAGGGATTGCACCCCGAGCCACTGTTTCTTCGATCTGCGATATATGACTGATATTGTTCCCTATTCGACCTTGTCTCCTTATCGATGTCCCTCGGGGCTTTAACTGCCAACCTTTTTGGATGTATTGAACCAGAAGGGGCTCATAATTGGTCTTCCTCGACCTTGATCTTCGATTGATATCGATTGTGCACATCTGCCCAGGTTACAACTGGATACTCGACCAAGTTTTGTTTCAACTATCGTGATGCTATCGAACTTCGCCCATTCAACCCTTAGGTGAAAGCTTGAACGGCCCAATCATAGGTGACCGATGGCAACTCTATCCTTTCCATTTGAAATCGGGATATGAACTCCCTCAGCTTTTCATCACCCCCCGGCTTATCTTAAAAACGTCCGATTTCCTTGTTTCGACCTTTATAGCCCCTACATGTGCCTTTACGAAGGCGTCTCCTAGCATGGCAAATGACTCGATGGAATTTGGTGGTAGGTTGTGATACCAAATCATTGCTCCCTTTGACAAAGTTTCCCCAAATTTTTTCAACAAAACCGACTCGATCTCATCATCATTTAAGTCATTCCCTTTAATCCCGCATGCGTACGAAGTGATGTGTTCATTAGGATCGGTTGTACCGTTGTATTTAGGTATATCGGGTACACAAAACTTCTTAGGAATGGGCTTCGGAGCCGTACTCTGAGGAAAAGGCTTTTGCACGAACTTTTTTGCACCCAAACATTTTAAGATCGGGGGTGCCCTCGGTATCTGATCAACTCGGGAGTTGTATGTTTCCTCTTTTTTATCATTATCTTCGATTTTCTTCTCTCCCGACTCGGTTCTTTTAGTGAGCTCCTCGAGCATCTTCACATTTGTAGGACCAGTCCCTGATCCGTTACCATTCGACCTTTCTGGCACTAGCTCAGTACGACGAGTGATATCTGGTTCGGCCACACTTGGAGTTCTATGTTAACTTTGAAGCTGAGTAATAGCAGCCTGCTGAGCTGTAGCATCTCGAATATTACCTGGAGACTAACTCCCCCGTTTCATACGCCCTGTGTTCCTTGGCCACCAGATCAGCCCTGCCTGTGTACACTTCCTTCGGGGTCTGCGCCTAAATCCGTATTCAAAGCAATGTGCGAACTGATATCGACGACTGGTACTCCCCCGAGATTAGCCTGTGGCACCCCGGCTCCTAGAGCAATTACGTTATCATTTTCCCCGTGAAATCAAAGACCATCATCACCATGTACAAGTGTGTTTTGTGAGTTTGACATGTTTTAACCTGAGAATAAATTTTTTTGACAAGAACAAGTGTGAAAATAACGTGTGTTATCAGAATCAACACTAAAACAGTCACTATTATCCTTGGCCCCACGGTGGGCGCCAAACTGTTTACCCTAAAATCCGAATAACAATTAAATTTGTATTGATATATAAATTGAAGAATAAAATTAGTCAAACCAGTATGCAAGCCAAATCTCGACCTCGAGCTCTGACGGCCCCGAGGTGGAATAGTAGGAATAGCAAGTTACAAAGCAACTTTGATGAACATTGAATAAAATAGCTAGAGAATAAAGTGTATGTATTATCTTATCAGTCAAAACGTGTCTTACAAATGAATGGGCTCCCATATAATAGGGGAGTCCTAAATAAGGTACACTTCTAATTACAGTAAGAAATAAAAATTGACAGTTGTCTAACCGCCAATGGTCAATCTATTCCGCAATTTACGCCGTGATCCTCCGCCTGTTGCGGGTATCTAGTTCTTTCTGTTACTGAACCATAACGGTATTATCTCAAGGTATGCCTTCTCCCGACCTCGACCTCGGCATTGGAAAGGAACCTCACCTTTTCCATCGAAGAACGAAATCGGGTAACCCTGATTTTCACCGTATACAAATAGGGTATCACCTAAAGCTAGAAAAAAAATTATGTTAAATTTATAAAATTATTTTATCCCATATAAAAAGTGGAATTCTATCCTAATTATAATCCCCAAATTATAATTCTGCTGATTTTGAATTTGAACCAAACTATCCGTAGTTGCCTTTCTAAACTAACTCACATTGGTTAAATAAATGTGCCGTCCTTGTATTGTAAGGTATCAAACAAATAAATAAAACCTTGTTTGAAAGTTACTATACTAACTACTACTACCGCACGCCTCTCCCGTTCTTCATTTTGGTTGGAAAGATGTTATCCCGCATTAATTATTTTAAGATTAGTTATTCGAAGAGTTATTCCATCTTTTTATGGGAATAAAAAAATATTACAATTTTGGGATAATTTATTTCGGGATTAATTATATCGTAATTTTCTCCCAACCAAATATGGGATAAACTATTCTTAAATTTAGTGCCGAAATTAATTATGCATTGTCCCTCGTATCAAACGAGCCTTAAAAGGTTAAGAGCCCATTTGGATTAGCTGATTGTAAATAGCCGATAAGCTTGAAGTGCTGAAAAGTTTTTTTACGTGCTGAAACTGATTTTGAAAAGAAGCATTTACGTGTTTGGATAGAAGTGCTGAAACTGATAATAAGCGGTTGATGTATTTGATTAAAAAGTGTTATAAGCTATTCTTTTGTTAAAATGACTAACATACCCTAGAATATTTTTTTAAAAATTATAATTTGAAAATTTCTTTGTAAAGAAAGAATTAACAAGGAATATAAAATGGAGAGAAAGTCAAAAAATTTATTTTGGGAAAAGTATTTTGTGAATTAGAAAATATTATTAAGGATAAACTAGTAAAAGTGTTGGTCAAACTAAAAGTGCTTATAAGCTGAAAAGCCATAAGTTGGGGGTGACTAGCTTATGACTTATGTCTGATTTTAGCTTATAAGTACTTGACTTATAAGCACTTTGGGTGTTTACCAAACGCGTAGATAAACCAAAAGGTGCTTATAAGCTAGTTGACCACCTTATAAGCTTAGCCAAACATCCTATAAATAAATCTACTCTCTTTAATTTCTTTTTTCTTTTTTCTTTTTTCTTTCCCATTTTTTTGGTCACCAGGGTACTAAGTTTAAAATTTTAATTTGATTTACTTAATACGTTTAGTGATAGAGAAAGATTTAAAAAAAAAAAAAACAGTTTAACAGTGAATTTTATTAGGAAACACATTACATCAGGTTTCCACAATGAAATGTAACTTGAATTATTGAAAAATCAAATAACATTAGACGTTAAATAGAAAAAATATTGTACAATTGAAATAAATGGAGTATTACTTTCTAAAAATAGAAATAACTCTAAAAATATTGAATATTCTGATCCAGCGGAGCAAGATCCGGCCGGCTGACCGACAACCAGAAATAGAAAGAACTTAAAGAGGAAATGAACACGACCCTTTTAACTAATTATTTGACATTTCCAGAAAATTTTGTAACTCTCTTACCAATTTTCCCTCCATTATTTCCGATATTATTGGCTTTCTTTTTTTCCATCTTGGTCTTAAAAACGTAGCAATTCAGCATTCATATATTTCTAAAATAATAAATTCATTCATTCATTCATACACCTAACAATCCAAACCAAACTATTTAGCCTTTGAGTCAGATTTGAGTTTTTGAAGAGTCTTCTTTACGTTTTATTACAAGTTGAAAAGCAATTGGAAAACTAAAAAGTTCAGATCTTTGGTTCAATTTTTGTGATTCTTGAAAATACCCATTTGGATTTTGAGTTAATTTTTTATTTGTTGTGATGGGTTGGAGATACAAAGCTGGTCTCTTTCTTATTTCAGCTGTTGTTGTTATTTGGGTCACCTCTGCTGAAGTTACCCAGGTAAAAAATTTCTTTCTTTACTCATTTCTCTTGATATTTTATGTATGTTTTTTATTGGGGTATACCATAATTTAGTAGCAAGTTATACAAAGTGATAAACTTTGACATTTTTATTAGTCTTTCCATAATGTTAGTGCTTATTGTTAGTTTTAATGTCAGCATTGAGGATTTGTATAGCCGATTACGGCTAGTTTGGGTTTGAGGCTTAGTTGTTGTATTAAGATGTATTGATATCTGGATTTGTTTATCTCAAACAAGATAGGAAGATAATACAGAATATGAGCTGAAAATATCATTCAGTTGACTTTTGTATGAGCAGCTTATAATGTGGATGGATACTAACATATTATCCAGAGTATTAGGAAACTAGCAAATGAATTCCAGCATGTGTATTTGTGATATTTACAGAAAGCTTCTTATTATCAGTTTCATTAGGGGTTCGGGTTTCAACAGTAGTTTCACCTTTACAAATTTCAACAGTAGTTTGCTCTATGCTCCGCTTATTTTGGACGAATTGCGTTGTAGCTAGAGATCTAATAGCGCATGTCCTTGCTTTCATACAACACTAGTTTATTGCTTTTGAAGACATAAATAAGAACATAACTTTGGTTTAGGCTTATTTATTATGTTAACCTACAGGAATAAACTTATATTGGGTCATTCGGACATGATTTAGGATACTCTTTTTCTTCTTCTGATTCGGTTTAATCCGTCATTAATTCAGAGGGAGAGGGAGGAGATAGGACTGTTGGTCACATTTGTTATTTATTGCAAAAAAGCGTAGAGTTTACTTGCCTAAGCATGTACCTAAGGTATTATTTGCTCCGTATTTAGGCCCTTTGTGTTTTCTGATGAAAGAAGATGTGGTATTCAAGTAGTTCTCAAGTGGTTCAAATGAGATGCTTCTCGTTACTCATGGTTTACTGTGTTGTATGTTTCATCTCTTTTTAATAACTATGACTATTAATGATGCTTTGCAAGATATCTAAGAGTGTGAGAAATATGAAAGGAACGTGGATGCTAAGAAGCTTAATTTCAATAGCATTGACTTCATCCTCTTTATCCGCCCCAAGAAAAGCATTGACTTTATCTTTATTGCCTTGAAAGCAATGTTTTCATTAGCTTCATTCCTGGGCAAATTCTCGTTAGCCTATTGCCAGAACTTTCACTGTACCTCACATGTTTGCCGAGGTGCCTCTACTCCTGAGACCAAGTGTTTTTATGTTGTTAAACACACATTAATGACATTGCCCAAAAAAAAGATACCCCCTAGTCCAGATCTTATTGCCCATTTTGCTTCTCAAAGGTCAAATTGATATTAGGAAGTTCATGGATTACTTTGTGTTTTGTAAACTAAAGTGCTTCTTTCATGTCTGAGCGGGTAATTGTGGTAAAAGATGCACCATATACTATAGATGATAAGTTCAGTATTTCTTAAGGCCTTTTGTAATTCTCATTATACTTTGGCAAAGAATATTCTTGCATTGTCCTAATGCATTGAATTAGTACTTTGACAAAAAATATTCTTGCATTGTCCTAATGCATTGAATTACTGAATTTAAATTTGCACGGATGGACATGATGAACTGAAATCTTTTCATTGTGTATGCTCGGTGACAGGGCATTTTCTCCGAATATAAGCAGCCATTTGCAATCACATACCTTGGAGCTTCTTTGCTGGTAATTTATCTACCTGTAGCATTTCTTAAGGATTGGATATGCGATTTGCTGAAGAGACGCTGTAGTAGAGCTGGTAACTCTGAGACTGGCAGTGAGTCATATATGAGACATAGTAGTTCTCCTCTAAAGCATACAGTACAGAAAGTCTTCGAGATAGAAATCTTGAAATCATTGGATAGGAAAGATAGCGAAGAAAATCTTTCTGCCGAGGAAGAAGGAAAACCTTTGGTTGCTATATGCAACGGTAATTCCGATGATTTAAAGAACGGAAAAGAGATAACCACCTGGCAAATTGCTCGTTATGGATTCTATCTTGCTCCTCTCTGGTTTATTACTGAGGTATGATGCCAACTTTAGTTATGCCTGTACTTTGTTACCTTCCCCAAGAAGAATCCTCCCAAGAAAGAAAAAAGAGAGTGAAAAAAAACCCTGTTTTGCTCGAAAAGTCTATTGTCTGAGTTTGTTTGAGCTTATTTGTGTCTTTTGTCTTTTCTGCAGTACCTGTCGAATGCAGCGCTTGAGCATACAAGTGTTGCAAGCACAACCGTACTATCTTCTACTTCGGGACTATTCACTCTTTTTGTAGGTGTATTACTGGGTGAAGATTCATTAAATATGGCAAAGGTAGTTGCAGTCTTTGTTAGCATGTCAGGCGTTGTGATGACAACTCTAGGAAAAACATGGGCGACTGATGAATCTAAATTGGATTCTTCCTCGTAAGACATTCCTGCACTTTGTTAACTTAACAGAAGCTGCTTTATATGTATTTCTGATGCACCTAGGTTTTATCGATTTCAGAATAGGTCTCTTAGTTGCTTGCAGTTATGTTTAGTGTAAGTCATAACTCATAGAGTTTCTTTTGACATACAGTTCCTTATCATATGAATAATCTACGTGTATTCCTTGTCTTGCTGCATTTGTTTTGCTCTCTGATTCTTTACTGGCTAATATACACTATGACATCTCCAATTTTAAGTGGCAGAATTAGGTTCAATGATTCAATTACAAAGAAGAATAGAAAAAAGTAGGTCTGATGTAAATTGTCCATAGACGACCAATATGTGAGATTAGAAAATAGCTCATATTCCTGACATCACATTCTCATGAACTATGAATTTCAGCTCTTTATTGGCCATTTACCTGTTTAGCTAACTGTACTAACGGTAATAATGTCAAGGTTTCTTGTACTTTGAGTTTTCATGATGCAAACTCCTATTTTCGTACCTGTGAATCCAGCTGCACATTTACTCTCCAATTTTGTGGTAACTGCGCATATTTTTTCGCAAAACAAAGTCAAATAGCATTATAGGTAGGGCTGATTTAGCATTTATGACAGTTCAAAAAAGTAAAAAAGAAAGGAATTGGCACTCTGGAACTCCTGGATTGAGGTAGGTGGTGTCACCAAAGGGTATACTGGAAAAAGAAGCAGGTTGACCGTGGCTTGGGCCTTGGAGTGGGGAAGGGTAGCACTGCGGAGGCGTTGGAGATAGAGAGGTATTATTCGGGCAAGAGATCGGCTGCAAGTCAGTGGTACTGTCATGGTCTGGAAGTCCGCAACAGGGATTGAAGGAGGAGGGTAAAGGGAGTTTCCACCCTCTTTGGCTGGGAAAGGGGAAGACGAAGCTGCAACAGTTGGATGAGGCAAGGTTGATGCTATTGTGGGATAGGAACAGCTCGAGAGGAAGAGATGGAAGTGTTGCTGGTGATTTTCTTTTTTTTGGTTTGGGGGGGGGGGTGGGGGGACAGGTAAATAGGAGTAGGTAGTAGGGCTAGTAGGGCAGTATATACAAGGCGAACGGGCCTAA